AAGGGTTTAAAAACAAACTATTAAAGCCATGAAATGTTGAGTGCATTTGCAATACACAAATTTGCAAGAGATCAGAAAATAAAATCCTTCTGTAATCCATTATTTGCAATAACAGCAGTATGCTGTAGTCACAGTCCAGAGCCACTACACAGTACAATCTGTTTTCTGCTTTCCTACTTACAGGAAAAACCTTCCTACATAAGAAAGGAAATTCAGACCTAAGAATTCACAGTAAAACTAAAACACACCTAAAGAGCTCTTAATACCACTTATTTTTTTAAGGGGCAGAAAAAAATAGCAGTGGGAAAGAATTTGTATCTTCTATTATTAACGTATTTATTGTGCAATGCCAACTGTTGCTTTATTGATGCATTTTACATAACTGTCACTGTATTTGTAGTAAGTTAATTGCAGTACCATCTCAGAAACAAAATTCAATTTACTATATCATCACAGAAAGCCTAAAAGGTAATACCCATTTAAGGGGTTTAATTACAAAATCTTCTAAAAATATTTTTTCTAATATTTTTTCTTTGCTACTTCATAGATTTTGTAGAAATATTATTTTTGTTGCATTTATTGTAAAAACAAATTGTACTAAAGCTACTTTAAATAAACCTCTCTTTCACAGAACATAATTTCAAAATATTTAATAAATTCAATATTTCATACCATGGCCATTTTGGATCAGATAATACATCCTGATTTCTATTCATAAGTGATAAAATGGATTTAATGAGGATTATTTCAATAACAGTAATAAAAGCAGATTTTCAGGTAAGTTCTGTGTATGCTTAGAAATAGCATCCACAAGTCTTAAAGCTTGTTTTCACCTTACGAGTAAACTATTACCTGAAAATAATAAGGTATAAACCAGCCAGATAAGGACATTTAGCAGAGGCAAGAAGAATACTGGCCAAATTACTTAGCAGCTATTCAACAATTCAGCAATTCACAAGCAATATCCTGTTCCACAGTTAACATACCTGCGTATATTACTTCCAATCAACCTTCTTAAACAGTAAAATAAATTTTTTTTTCTGTTAAACACTAAACAGGACTAATTGATATCTTATTTTCACAGGACACTAAAAATGCATAAGCTGAGCATAAACAAAGTCACCTCACATAACTGAACAAATTCTTTCTGTATTAAAATTTTTAAAACATTCTCCGTTATCAACACATCAGATTGAGAAGGAAAGGAAGACACATGAATAAATAGAAATATCTCCTTTTGAAAAGCTACTTTAATGGCACATGTATTTTATTATTAGTAAAGACAGTGAAAATGCAAAGAGTGTGCAATTGCTAGCAATTAAATTCTAAAGTGCTAGTATGAATATATCAAAAGATATGGTGATGTATTTAATTCTCTACAGAGAAAATAAGAGTAAGTACCTGTTTTAAGTCAGGAAGCAGCGATAATTTCAAGATCAAACCCACTTCCTGTTAAAGAAAGGGGAGAAAATTCCTTTATAGTTATTGTCATTACTGATCCACTCTTTGAAACGTTATTTATAGAAAAATCTTTCTGTTTTGAAAATTCATAACATGATCAGAATATAAGAAATCATATGGGTTGCCTATGCCTAAAAGAGAGCAATTATAAAATTTGGTTAAGTATCCCAGAGTACATAGCCAATTTCTAGATACAGAAAAAATACTGGAAGATGAAACTCAGTTTTTGACATGAAGGCTTAGTCAGCGAATGTAAATGTTTGGAGAGAGCAGAGTTCATAATATATAGGGACATATATTAGGATTTTTTGTTTTGTTTTGACTGCAGGAATACTTGAAGCTTGCTCTGAGCTCCCTCTCGCGAGCAGTTGCTGACAGTACACCAAAAGTATCACCACCGGCCTGACTCGAATAACGTTGAGTTGCAATTGCAGACTAAGTTACTCGTTTCGTAACACATCATGCCCCAAACGACCTTGCAAACAGAAATGTCTGGTTCCAAAGTTATTATCCATATATAGCTATCTTTTCCTAGAAGGAACGGGATAGAAATAGAAAGACACCCTACCACCCCAACCAAACCCAAAATCTGCTTCTCTGCCTGGTTTCTCTGAAAAGCTTACCACCCTCTCACCAAAGTGAGAAAAAATTATACTTGACCAACAATCTGTACAGACAGCCATAGCACTGTTCAATGAGCAAGCATAGCCCGTTTTTAGAAGCAAAATGATACCTACTTAAAAAAAAAAAAAAAGCACTTAAAGCTGTTATCTGCAAGGAGCCTTTTCTTTTACCAGGATGTAAACATTGGCTTGACTGAACTAGCATTTATTTCAGTTAAACCATTCTAACTCTTTTCACTTGTAAAGCATCTTGCATTTACTCCTTATTAATGCACTGCAACAATAAACTGCTTGTTTTCATAAGATGTTTAGATGCTGTGCAAATGTAGTCACAAACTGCACAAATAAGGATTTTTGCACCAAGGAGCTAGCACAGCCTAGTACAGGTCTGATAGCTGTTTCACGCTGGCACACATCCAGTGACTATCTTAAATTGCGGAGACAAATCTCTCTGAAATCTGAGGAAGGGAATTCTGCAGAAACAGTAAAAGTCATCCTTACGCGTATGACTGGAAACTACACCAAGGAAACCACCTACAGCCATGCTTGAAACATTATTACTTTTTTAGAAGGTGTTTAAGTTGATACTTGCCCAAAAGTACACTTCCTTAGCCCTATACTCCCATGTCCCTTACACAGCAGGCTTGATAAGAGACTAGTACCACTCCAGTTAAACCCTACAACTATTTGTTGTGTGATCTCGGACATTCACAGAAATAGCTAACAAAGCGTCAAGCACCAAAGGAAAACTTTTTGTTGTTGCATGGGTTATTGGAACAGGAACTCCAAAAGCAAACACAATAAACTAAATCAAGATCTGACCTGAAAAAGGAACATAATTAAATTGGACCCTTTCTTCCCACATTCTTGGGACAGCAAAGATCTGGAGAGGCACATACTATTTTTGTTTTCTGTTCTTATGAAGGTATCATTTGCATCATCAGCAACTCAAAGTCTGATTTCATATATTTTTAATCATGTGTTCAACTTGCCAGGTAAGGAATTATTACTAAAACCCTGCAATGCTGCCAGCCACCATTCCTCAGGGTATTCCTGAAAAAGTTCTGGAAACTTGATTTTTGCAATACATCTGTATGGACAGTCTATGGACCTTGCATTTTAGCAAGCCTGCAACCAAACAGGATCAACACCAGAGCTTGCAAATTTGTTCCTATGTGGAATATCAGTAAGCCAGTAGTTAAGAAATAATTACCATCACTACCAAACAATTTTAGTTACATCCCAGAAAGCTTCTCGATTTCACAGGAGGCTGATGTGTCTTCTAGTCTACAGTCAGCGAAAATGGTGCTGGCCTTTGAAATCATGCCGGTTTATTTAACACTGCCTTTCTCCCAAAGAAAGACTGCCTGCAATTCTGAACACCCTGTAGCACTGAGGCAGAGCATGCTAGCCATCAAATTCTAGTTGTTCATTCCACTGACTGGAAAAATGCCTGCCGTTTGATTTCTTTTATAGGGCCACATTTGAGCAAGCAACATTTATAGAGATGACTTACCTAATTAGATTCAAAGAGTGATTTGCTACCTCAGCAATAGTTTTTAAATGTAAAGATCTAGATAGAGAGGCATTTTGTAAACAGGTGTCAATGACACTGCTCCATCAGGCATTAAATTGGAGCTGCTCCTGAAAAATAGTTTCATTTGCGCATTTAAGTTACCAATATTTTATCAACTGCAGTGGCTTTACACCAAATACTCTTTGTGGTGTACAGCCAATGGTATTTCAACATGATCTCTCACCCTTTCAACTGCACGAAACAGGCTGCTGCGTGCTCCTCATGTCCTTTCTGAACAGTTGATTAAAAAAGTCTCACAATTACCTCTGAGGAGCAGATCAGCCTTTGAAACAAGGCGACAAACCAGGCAATTCCTGAGGGAAAACAGCTGACACTTGCAGTTCTGTATTTCCAAAGAGGCAAAAACTGGGAAAGGAGGCAATTATTCAGTCTTATGATAATTATTTAACGTTTATATTACAGTTGTATCCAAAGCCTCTGTGCTCGGGAGCGTGTGGAACGCACAAGAACCTGAGGAGAGTCCTGCACCAAGATGGCTGCTCTCCTCAGCCCTCACACCTGAGGCACCAAACCCAACACCCGCAGCTCGGGAGAAAGCTTTGCTCTTTGCGCCTTTTTGCTCACATTTGACTGTGACTTTCGTACAGGAGTAGGAGATAACGTTACAGAAAGACAACAAATGCGCATTCTACGGGGTGAGCTCACCTCACGGCCGCCACAACTAAAGACTGCAATACCTGACGCCGCCCGGGGGAACAGGAGCCCCGAGAGCCCGGCATGGCTGCAGGAGCACGGGGAGGGACGGCACCCGCTCAGCGGCTACTCGTAGCGCTGTGCACGGCCACAAGGCACCTCAGTGCGGGCTGACTGGAGCGGCCGCAGCCGCCCAGCGCCTTCCGGAAGGCACGGCCGCCGCCCCGCCACAGGCGGCGAGTCCAGCCCTGGCCCCGCACCGACCCTCAGCTGCGAGGCGGCGGCAAAGCCTTCTTGAGCGCAGCAACGCCCCTCGCTGCCACCTCCTCACTTCCCGGCCCGGTCTGACACAGCCAGGCTGCAGGCCCCAGCGCCGCGGCTTGCGAAGGAAGCACTTCGGTTTCAGAGGGCTGCTTCAAGTGTCTGGGAGGGATTCAAAACTCTTCTCCCCTCGCACACAGACAGAGAAAGGTGGGCTCAGGTTTTAGTGAGAAAAAAAAATGAATCAAGAGAATGGTCTTGCTTCTGCTCTGAACTGAATCATTAAATGGGGGAAGGGCTTTGAGGCTTCACCCACAAGTAGTGAACACTGGGAGGAAAAAAAACAACACATAAAATGAACGGTGAAGGCGAAATACACATCAATTCACACGGTTTTCAAATTAAATGTGTGAAAGACACCTGTATTATTAAAGTCAAACTCCAGTTTTATTTATGTTTTATTAGAAACATCGCACAGAGCGGCAGAGTCTTTCACAAGCGCTTGTAACCTCGTTTATCTGTGGAAGGTTAGCTTGGCTGCACGCTGTTAGGACCCTTGGCAGAGCCAAGCAGAGCACTGCGGCTGGGGGAAGCGCTCATAGCACCGGCAAGCATACTACAGCAGGGGTTGGTGCAGATACAAATGCAAGTCACAGTTAGCTAGGCAAGTCATTGTCTTTACGATTACAGTAAAATGAAGATCAAAAAAAAGGCATGTCTCTGGAACTGGGAATCTTCCATCACAGTTTTCAGTCCTCTCCACCACACAGGTTCAGCAGTGCCCTCTGATAATCTCCTTTTGTGTCTTGCTGTAAAGCAGCAGAAGAAAGAGTACAAAATACAGATGAGGAAATGGTCACAAAGTATGAAAGTATATGCATTGTATTCCAAGCCTTTGGGACAGACCAGTTTTGCAGTGGAAGCTGTATCAGGCTGGAGGAGACTATCTAGATTGAGTTTGATTTATGTGTGAATTAAAATTGTTCATCATTCTTGCAATCCGAATGCAAGGCCAAGAAGGGAGAGAAATTTTGGTATGAAAAAAGTAACACAACACAGGAAAGCTGAAGGACTTGAGTCTGCTCCTTCTCACTCACAATTACAAAAATCATACATCAAGTTCACGATTCTGAAAATCTGTTTATAATCTAAAATTGACATCTTCAGGAAAAGATTCTGGCTTATGATTTTGACTCAATTTGTGAAGTTGAATATACAGGGATTCATGTGAGGGTGGGGAAAGGACTAGTTTTTAAAGAGATGGACAAAATCTTTACCTATGCCCCAAGTTAATAAAACTTAGCTCTTATAGCTCCTGCCCTATTACAGAAATGAACAAAAATCACTCCAGCTAAAAAGCCTACTCCTTGGGCATTGAAATGAAAGAAAGGGAGCAGCAATTTGGATGCTCTATTTTCATTCAGCAATCACAGAGCAATTCTGGTTTTGATTTTCTTTGGGTCTGAAGGTAGGACAGGTGAACAGAATTTTCCTTCCTCACACGTAGGCACAAAGCCTATCCTGTCTGGTGGCTGGACAGGAGTTGTACCAGCTGTAGACTGGATAGCATGGATAACAACTTAATGCTCTCACTACAGCCTCTACAACACCTCCCATGAATTCTAACGGTACAATGAATCCAGTGAGGACTGCTGCAAAGGTCCATACAACTGATATAAAACAAAAGCTGAAAAAACTTACCTGGATGAAATAATAGAGAGATTTTCCGTATTTCCTCTTGAATTCACTCTTAATTTTCAGCATGTCAACCTCACAGCGGGAGACCATAATCCTGATCAGAACCTTGTCACGGGTTCCCTTGCCCTACAAGCAGACAATCATTTAGAGATGTAATAGCTGAAATGCACGAAAGGCCACTGTACGTAGGGGTAAGACAACTACAGACAACTGAGTTGTAGCATAAAAGATGCAATGACTTAAATTTTCTAAGGTCACCATTCTGAAACAGGAATTGAAGCATGAGCATACCTTTCTCATTAGCAGTGTTTGACCAACTTCCAGTCACAAATCTAGTTACTTAAGACTGTAAGCAGCAGTTCTGGTTCACCAGGACATCCTCCTGGTATTGCCCAATGCCCGCCACCAGGCATTTTCTCTTTCCACCCTTTTCTTGAGAAAATGTTTTGAGGCAAATATAGAGTCTTATTTGGGCACTTCAGTAAACAGCTTTCTCAGCTATCAGTTCTTGGTTACCTGCAAAAGATGTGTACCTTTGCTAATTACAATCAAATGATCTAATATAGGGCATTATTATGAGATCCCTTCCTATACTTCCCTATACCATGTGCATATGAATAGATAGTCTAAGCTTGTAACTGTTAATGCTTTTGAACAAATCCAACTCATTGTTAATTTATTCACATGCCAGTCAGATCATATGAATAGAAGTGCCCAAGGAATCAAAATTCAATGAAACAATGTAAGAAAAATAAGATTAGTAGAAAGAAAGAACAGTCCTCCCTACCTTCATGGAATCATACAGTCTGTCTGCAAAGTACAGCTGCTTGTTCTGAATGCACTGGACTGAAGAGGGAGATAAGAATAGTTAAATATCCTGCCCATACACAGAGTAGCAGAATCTTGGAGCCATTTTGAAAGACATAAGTACTCAAAATAAGTTTTTCAGCAAAAGCTTCTCCAGCAGGGAACGTAAAGATATTGTTTTTACCTGAGCTGTTACTTATAAGTTGTTTGGCCAAGCTTGTCATAGAGCCACAAATGCTTACAATCTGAGAAAGTATTTCTCTTCATGACTAGTATCATTTCAGAATGCTTAGCTCTCCTCCACACACACAATTCATTCTTCCATTTCTATAAGCCACCTCTTTTCTGAAAACACTCCCTGTATGCTAATCCATAAGAAGGCTCCCTTTCAAGGCTGAGCTCTGTTTATTCTCCATTTGCATTACAGAGCTCTCAGTTCACCCTTAGTCTGAACTGGAATTTTCCTCTTAAACTGGTGACATCCTAGTCATCATCTCATGCCACAGTACCAGCCTTATACTCTGCCTCCCCATTTCAAACAATTCAGTGTCAAATCAGTCAATAAAATAATAGCCTCTAGCATTCTTCACCACCCATCTTCTCTCTCTCTCTCTCTCTCTCTCACACACACACACACACACACACACACACACACACACACAATTCTCTCTCCAGCCTCTGTCTGTATTGAATACTTGATGCGCCAGCCACAGTTTCAACCTTTTAATTTGTTTGGGGAAACATTACACGTCCGTATCAGACAAAAATGGAACTAACAACAGATCAGAAGACACAGGTATTTGTATTTTCATCTGGAAAGCTAGATTTGTATTTTGCAGAGTGCAAAAATACACTACTTCTGAATACCTGTAATGTCCTAAAATATACTAGTGGATCCAATAATGTCAGCATGTCCAGTTTATTTCTCATCCAACAACACGGAGGAAGCTGGGCCCTATCCTTATCACAATACACACACTGCAAAAGCACTGAAAAGATCCTATCTAAAGCTAGTCTTTACGTCAGGGTAACTCACCAAGATTAAGGAAGGCATTCTCCAAGTCTCCCTTAACCTCCTTCTTGATGCTCTCCAACATATCATATGGGCTGTAGCTCTTGTACCTCTCAAACACTATGACAAGAAAGAAAACAGGTGAAATCAACACCAGACAAAGAACTGGTATAAGTAACCACCCAAATCAAAACCAGAGACAGCATTGTAGAGACGTGATTAAAAACTATCTGTCCAAGTCCTTCTGAGACCTTTATCTGAAGTACAGCCTCAAGTTTGGCAGCTGACAGTTAAGTTCCCGTGCTATAGCCTGTTTTCCTTGAACACCTCCATAATATGGTACAACACCATCTTAATCCTGTACTAGTATTTTTGAAACAGCAAAATGTTGTTGTTTCAAAACAACATTTAGGCCCTGAATAGTCTTCAAATGGCTTTTCCATGGGCTTCTTTGTCCTGGTTTCAGCAGTAGCAGTCATTTTTCTCCTTCTTGGTAGCTGGTGCAGTGCAGTGTTTTGACTTTTGGCTTGGGAACAGAGCTGATAACAATGATGTTTTGGTTTGGCCAAGGACTTTGTGAGCCTCATGCTCTGCCAGGGAGGAGGGGAAGCCAGGAGGAAGCAGAGACAGGACACCTGACCCAAGCTAGCCCAAGAGGTATTCCATACCACAGCACGTCATGCCCAGGATGTAACCGAGAGTTAGCTGGAAGGACTGGGAGACTGCAGGGTTGGAGGAGGTATCGGTTGGTGCTTGGGCGGGCGGGGGGGGGGGGGGGAGTGAGTTATTGGTTGGCTGGTGGTGAGGTGTTGTATTCTCTTCCCTTGTTATTTCCCTTATCATTATTATCATTGGTGGTAGCAGTGGTGATTTGTGTTATACCTTAGTTACTAAACTTCTTATCTCAAGCCGGGGGAGTTGCATAACCACGACATTCTTATACAGCAATATCAGAGCTGCTTTTGAGAGTCTTCACTGACAGATTTAAAAACACGATACAGTGAAGCTACCCTAGGCCACAGGAACAAGCTAAAGGACTTCCCAAGGTCTCCTGAAACCATGTTTTCTAGATCTGTCACATTTTTGTTCTCAGTGTTCATGACATATAATTGAGCATTGTTACACCTGTGTAAATAAGAGCTCTACACAAACTGCGACATTAACACTTCCACAGAAATGTGTTTTGAAAAAAAATTAACAGCTTGGACATGAATTAAGGCTTATGAGATCTACTGTGTTTTAGGTGTGCTCCTCACACTCATTTCAACCTTATCTAGGACAAAATATAACTTTCTTTTATAGAGAAAAAAAATAATCTCTCCCTTGAACAGTACCTTTCTGCAGGTGGGGGACACTTCTTTCAGTCATAATGTTGATCCACTTGGGCACATCAGTTCCCTTTCTCTTCACACCAGCATCATAGAGCTCCTGTGGTTAGAATGAAAAGCAAATTATGGATATCAGGAGTTCCACAACAAGCCACTGCAAATTTATACAATTCCCTATTGGAAACAAGCACTATTAGAACTGTTTCAGTGGGAGAAACACAAAAGGACATACGGTTGAGTAGATCACCAGGATAAGATCAATGGATTTGATCTGAAACTAAGACTAATGACTTTGCATTTACCTCTGTCTACGGAGCTTTACTCTGTATTTAGATCTGTTTACCTCAGCAGTACTGCTCTTGACAGATACAGATGTAATAAAAAACATCTGCAGCCACTACGTTCAATGATACGTCTCTCAATCTTACACAATTACTTGGTTGCAATCTGTCCTCACAGTGTATACGTTTCTTTTGTTAAGGCTCTCTCTCAACATGCTCAATATGCCTATACAGCAAGTGTCTGTATAGGTACTAGCAAGTCAGTAGCCTGTGAAAACTGGTAACTGAAGGTGTCAGGGTTGCAAGTGGCTGATATCTTGATAGCATACAAACATTACTGTGCAAGACAATCTGAAAAACACACAACTACTTTTATAAATGCTTCTCACTCCCACACTGTTTTTACTTTCAGTGTCCTCAAAAGCTACATAGTAACTTTAGAAATTGAATGGTCATTACCAGCACTTACCCTAGCATCCTGGTCAATCAGTTCATAATCAATGACAGAGTTATCTTCACACCTCTTGCCCTTCAGACAAGGATAGCAGTATTTAGAAGAGGTTTAATAGGCAGTAAGCAGTTTGCTATGTACACATTCTTTTCTGTTTGATTTTTTGAATCTGAATTTGCTAAATGAGTAACAGTATGCTCCATCCCATTATGCTGCTGCTATGAATGCCACAATACTTTGTCCTTCAACGTCTGAATATTTTTTCCCCAAAAAACAGTGAATACACAAGGAAATCGGAAAGTTAATCAAATCCAATTGTTCTGCTGGCAGCCATCAGTCGGCTACCATTAGGAAAAGTGGAAAAATATGAAGAGACCTACCTTAGCCAGGGCAACCATTAGCTTGCGGAAGTCACCAGATGTGTCTGATATAATGTCCTTTTCCAGTTCTGTCTTGTACACTAGAAAGTAAACAAACAAAATGAAAACAAATGGTGTCCTACAAACACTTCTTTACTGTATTTTATGCACATAAACAGCTACAATCTAAGTCACATGTGGAAGACAATGCAAAGGCATGCCTGCATAGCACAAAACCAACACTGCTGAAAGTTCCCATGCCATTGAAGTCATTGAAGGATAACAGGAAAGCCTGAGACTATTAAGAAGAAGGGGATATTATTTTAAGCCCAATATCCTGTTAGATCATTCTTAGAGACCAGTCAACATTTGCTTGTTTGATAAATAAATGTCAAACTCCTGAATTTATGACTGGACAACTGCAATTACAAGTTTTATGCAAAAGACAAAAGCTGTTACAACAAACCAAAGGAATGCTGTGTGAGACTCTGGTCTGGTGTCTAAACATTTTAATTGCTTTCCAAGTGATCATACTCTGTATTGCTACAAAATCACATTTTCTTTTTCAACAGCAACCTTATTTATAGCAGCAACATTCTCTTTGCTGCTACATATTTTTTTCTAATACCAGCCATTAAGATTGCATTGGCTTGGCTTGTCCTTTTTGACTCAGCCAGCACCTCCATAACTGCTTGACAATTATGAAGCATTAGCAAGCAGCGATCTTCTACATTTCCATCTATTTCTGGTGAAGCTCAGCTCTGAAGCCCAGGGAAATAAACAGGCAGTGGACATCTGCACTACTGAATGGTGGTAAACTCAACCAGAATGACCAATACAAAAATATAAGGAATATTAAATGAAAAATCATATATCTACTTGTAACCAATTAAGAATTATAGCCTCAATCAGATAACATGCTTTAGAAAAGTTGAAAAACAGAATATATGCTTTTATGAAGTTTTATTTCATGCCTTTTCTGGCAGGTCTACCAAATAAACTTACAAGCATGCTTCAGTATAGGTTTCAAATTCAAGTTCCTATTACGTTATTCAGCCTAGAATCCATAAATCTAAATCCATTAATTCTGTTGCTATGCACAAAATGCATGTAGCTTGCAAAAAACTCCTTTAGACACAACTTGTTAGCAGTAAACGTTTGCTATCAAGCAACAAGATAAAACTAAATAAAACACACAGATATCCAGGACCTCAGTAGAAAATTGTCTCTTATGTCCAACTGCCAGAGAACCAGAGATGTTGTGTGATTCTAATAATCACATTCACATCGAGAGAAACTTATCCGAGTAACTTAGTGAGATAACATAGTCCACTGAACCTTTCAAAGTAAACTTACTTTCCCTGTACACTCTGATAATTTCACTAAGTTCCTGATTTGTTCTTGAGCAGATGATTTCGATGAGTGTGTCTTCATCAGTTCCCAGGCCCTGCAACACATACATGATTCAGTTAAGTGCTAGAAATGAATAGGAGTACTTGAATGGTTAAAAGTATTTTACAGACATCTCTTTTCTCCGAGCCTAACAGTTTCACAACCACTCAGGGATATTTTTTGCTAACTGCACACGAGAAACCCCAGATGGAACATTTGTAGCTGCCAAATACTTTGAAAATACTTTGAAATCCTGTAGGTATTCTCTCTGGGCAATGTGCATTTGTTGTGTCTGTAACACTCAGTGTCTTCCCCACCAGAGTAACTGGCTGAGATCTACTTAGCACAGCCCAAGTGTGATTTCTTCCTGTGCTCTCAGTGGAAAGAAAACAAATCCTATTACTAACATGCAAAGGGCAGCAACCAACTTGTTCTTCCCTGCTTTTCTTTCCCACCTTGGTTCACACAATTCCTCCATAATAAATGGAAAGCCAGCGATGACATCATCATTAGCCATGGCCTTGTCTCCAAATCAGCAAAGATTTAAGCATGTTCTGAATTTCTAGCTAATAAATATCCCCTCTTGAATTGTCCCTATTTTCCACGTATTGCACAATGCAAAAACACAGATGAAACAGCATTACGACTAGCTATATTAAGAAATAAAAATACATTCAGTATGATACTCAGATTTTATGTTTTCTTGAACAAATGGAACAATTTGAGAAGTATTTCAAAGCCACTTTTGTGATCAATGTCAATGAAGAATCAGTACTTTGAACTAAGCTGCATTACTACTGTTTGAAAAGCAATACAGGTGTTACAAAATGAATGTACAAATATTGGCGTGGTTTGCTTGGGACTCCAAAAGGAGTCTGCTGAATAACATCTTGGGAAAACTTCCAATGCTGCAGTCCTTCACATGCAGAAAATGGAGACAATTATGTGAAAAAACATCATCTTGGAAAGTATCTGGAATATTTTTAAAGATTTTCCAAATACTAAAGTATTTCATAAGAAACATAATTAACTCCTCAATATCAACCTTCCTTTATCCAACTCTGATTCCCATGTCATAGCTTATGTTGCTGTATGTATCAAGTATCTATGGTCATCCCAAATAGAACGCGTCAGATGTAAGACATTAAAACAACAAAAAATCCCCAAACCAAGAGACAGCAAATGACAGCTATCCTCTACTTAAACCACAAGAGGGCAGCATCTGATTACTCAAAGAAGATATTTGGCCCAGAATTGAAGAGTTACCAGCTCCATACTGGGCTAAATTTTTGGATTTGGGGATTTAAGTTTTGTTGGGGTGTTGTTTTTTGTTTTGCTTTCTTTTGGGGGGTGGATTTCATTGCTTACTTGTTTTTTTTTCTTAGTCTGGAGAAATCAATTCATTGTTTTTTTGTGGTGGTCTGGATTTCAGGCATATTTTAATAGTTGGGTTTTAATTATTAAAAACAAAACAAAACAAACCCCAAAACTAAACTAAAAAAAAAACAAAACCAAAACTGATCAAGAACATTCAGAATTTAACTGATGACTGTCAATCCAAATACCCAAACTTTAGTTTGCCAAGACAGGCAAATGCCCTGGCACGTGCACCTCTCAAAGCTGTCTTTCGGTGGCCTGCAGAGTAGACATTTCTAAACTCAACACAATCTCTTTCACACTTGCCTGTGGTTGTAGGAGACTGAAGACACTAAATAATGGATATGTTAGAAAACTGGTCTTGGCTATGAAGTCCCTACTCATTCTCGAATTAACACATACTTAAATTTCGAAGCTCATTTACCTTCATGGAAGCTTTCAATTCAGAGGCATCATACTGAGCTGGTGTCTTCAGCAAGCCCAAGATCACTGCCTCCAAATGACCTGACAGAGCAGACTTGAGCGCTGCAGAAAGTTCCTGTAAAAAAGGGAGGGATGGTGGAAGAAAAACTTTAAAGCTCACTTCAGATCTCCAGAGAATTCAGCCTGCAGTGCTTGAAGTCTCCAAGCCTGCAACACTGTTTCTTACCCAACTGACAAGGAAAAAGAACATAAAGAGCTTTTCTTTTGTGAAAGCCTAAGAAAGAAATTAGGGCAAAGGAATTTTTTCTCATCCTTTGTAAAAAAGACAAAATCCACTGGTGGCTGACAAAGTACTGGGAAGCATGGTGCAGACACAGCAGAACAGCTCCACTCCAGTCCTGAAGCACTGACACTTTGTTGGAGCTAACAACCACAAGACTGATCCCATCCGATTCCCTGTGGTCAGTGTTCCTCCACCACACTCCCATAGTTTTCCCAGTAGCACTGTATCATTTGTGTTTTTCCGATTATCCCAGCCCTTTACTAGCTGAGACATCGGAAAACTGACCACACAGTTATTCCACTGTATAGGCCCAGTTCCCAAGCAGCTGAAGAGAAAATACTGCCCATAAGCACAGAAAAATTATCCCCGTCTTCAAGGAAGCTACCAGAAGAGCGTAGTCAAAGTCTCTACTGGTAATTGCCAGTCAATCCTAGAGAGTGAAATGAGCAGGTATGTTCACTTCACAGGATGCCTGCAGATTTGTAGCAAATGAAGTCAGAGGCATGCCCTCTTTTATGGGTTTCAGATGCAACTTCAATACAGCTAATTATCAGCTTCGTTGTGGTGTAGTTACAAAGCTGAAACCCCTGGGATCAAGTCTGGGGTTCACAGCCATGAATTTATTCCCTAAACTGAATTTAAATCTATAGAAGGGAATTGCTACATTTCAATGTGTGAACTTGATGGGCAGGTGAAAAGGAGGTACAGAAACTGACCTCAGAGAAGTTGGTACCAGGGTGGCAAGGAGCCAAGGCACTTAGTTCCCTTTCCAGTCATCTATTTTAATCCAGAACACTAATTAACATATGCTAATACTGTGTGCACCTACTGTATGGATTGATCAGGATAATAAATGGGGGTTTGGGGCATCTAGTTGTTTTAGTCTAAGAAACATTTTAATACAATAACTCAGCTTTGGAGACATCATTTATTTGTGTGAAAACAGGTTCTTCAGTCACCAGCTGAAACACCAAAGACCCTATGCCTCTAATAAATTTCAGGACAATGCCATGAATTCCAAATAGCTGAGAGAAGTTCTTGCAGCCCCAGTATTCACTGGTAGCTCCATTAAGGCTAGTGATGGGGAACAACTGCATAGATAAAATCCCCTTCCTCAAGACGGTTTCCATTAGACACAGCTCAGCTCAAAGCAATGAACACAGAGGTAGATCTGTGACTTTTAAGAACTGTAATGATCCACTATGAAATCCTGCAAGGCACAAACCGAGCAGCCCTGTACAATACAGCACATCACCAAAGAAACCTGCACAACCTGCTGCCAAAGAAAACCATGCAGTTATACCTACATGTCTTCTCATATCTCACTTCCTCCTGTCCTGCTGTTCACTTGTTTTTCACTAGGTGGTTTCCACTGCAAATTCCATTGTTTCTACAGACTGTTTTATTCTTTGGCACTTGATAAACTATAAATTCAGTTTGCTCTTGGGTTGCAGCAAGGAAAAAGGTGAGACAGAAACAGATGATGAAAAGCTGCAGATTTTGTTGACTGTGCATTTGTGTGGTCATGCAAAACCTTTAGCAAAGCTTTAAGTGATACATGTCACTACCAGGGAACACTCCTGTGCACAACATACCCAGTGATCGCAGGCTGTGACCACCGGGTGCAGACATGTGCACACATGCATGTGTCCAACCTGTGCATGCTTCTGCATGTGCCTCTATCAGCAGCGCATAAAAGTTGGTGACATTCCCAAATTTAACTCTAGATTTACATTTGGGTTCAGATGAGCACTCTGGGCTGCTATTGGAGGACTATCATTTGGGGTCTGGAAAACCTGAAACAGATACATTCATCACAATCCTAACTCTACATGAATTTCCTCTTTTTCATGGGCACAAAACTTCAATTATAGTAAGTTTCTCAATGCTTCAGAAGTCAAGAGAACAGCTCTTGCCTTCCAGATAGCAAGAGACTCATTCAGAACTCTACATGTTTTACAGATTTCTCTCCATCTCTCTCAGTACCCAAGGTATTTATGACAGGAGAGTACCTATCGATGCTTCAACTCACTTTGTTCCACATCTGCAGTTTGTAGTACAGCTAACTGCAATTTTTCCTTATTTAAGCTAGCTCTGTGAATAGAAACAGAATACTTCCTTATGCTGAGTTGTCTTAACAGCAACAAAGCAGTCAAACAGGAAATTCTATCCCCTAAGTCATCCCCCTTTCAAGTTTTCCTTCAAACTGAGGCATTTCATATCAATGGCTTTTTGCTGCTGTTACATATTTCACTAGGGAATCCTGTGGCTGGCTATGTCACCCATCCTGACTTCTGGTGGTGGTATTTCAGTCAGACTTCAGTCTCAGTTGTGCACACTCAATAAATCTGGAAGTCCAACCAGTCCTAAACTGTGGCAGCATGGACAAAGTAAACGATCCCTTAATTTCAGCAAAAAGAAATATACCAAATAATACTCATCTCCAGTTTGCACCTAGTTAACGGTGAAACATGCAGGCCCTGAAAAAAACCTAGCTGCCACAAGATGAATATGGAACACTTGGTATTTCTTCATATTTTGTTACCTTTTTGGTTCTCCTCTGATAGGCAAAAGCAATATCCTGCCTTTGCTCATTGCTGCGGTTTGTCAGGATGTTGATGATGGTAACCTCATCCACACCTACAAAGACATATGACAGAGTTAGAGAAGATGTCACTTTACCCTGCTCTTTATAGTAGTATGTTCTCTGAAACCCTCTTCATGTTTTTTTCACAAAGCAATATTGTACTTGATAGCCTCATGCCCTTAGCTCATGCTGAAGCAGACCTAAATCACTGCTCTGCATTCACATTCTTCTGGCCTGCAGAAGTCAAAAGGCCCCATATGTCTTAGTTACAAATTTGGGGTTGAAAACAGGCTGACTGCACATTTTGGCCATAACCTACTCCTGCACATTTTAAAGTGTTTCCATTTTATAAAAGAAAATGAATTCCCCAGGCCAGAAACAGACACACACACACACACACACACACCCTGGGCCTTTCAGCCACTGCAGAGCCACAGCATAAGCCAGTGTCTTGAGCTTTTTAAGAAATTCTGAATTTAAACCATTCTTGGTATTCAAAAAAGACAAATTACATTTTCAAGTTTTACCACAATTGTGAAAAGATAGAAGACCGCAAATGACTGTGTCCAAGTTTCTTATTCATATGCTTTGTGTGTACTTGCACTTCACACTTGGGAATCACCCTGCATGGACAGGATGCTGACTCACATCTGCTGAGCTGGGGTGGAGCAGGAGAGCAGCTTATACAGTCTTTGCTGTTCACTAAAATCTCTGGAAGTTTCAGGGCAGCAAAACAAAAGTTCATTTCTAAATTGATTCTGGCTGGACAGATTTTATCAGTGCCTTTCTATCAATGGGCAAAGAGAAATTCGATGTTGTGGCTCTCCTTTTTTTTTTTTTTTATTTTTATTTTTAAATACAGGAAAATTCTAAAAGAGTCAACCTGCTGCTCTGGTAAGATCATAGTTCTATGGCTCAGTCAGCAAAAGAAGAGGAAATGAACATGGCCAAAGCGATCAATTAGAGTTGCCACTTGTTTTGGTTTAAAGACACTGTACTTGAATCTCCATGGGCCTAAACAACAGCACCAGCATTGTTCTGAACAAAGCATCTGATAATGGACAGTCACTTTGCTTTCAAGGTGGGAGCAGAGCTAACATACTTTCATTTTGCAAGAGCTGGCATGCATTCATTCAGCTGATTTATTAGAAGTCTCTTCTCTTACACTTCGTCTTCAAAGACAAAATACCAAAAGCTATTTCTGTCCTAACAGCATCTAGGTACTCCAGACATCAATAATCTACATGTGTGTATGAAATGGAATTGTAGCTCACCTCAAATTATTAGTGGGAGATGTATGCAATTAGCCCTTGTGAGACCTCAATGCCATTGTGCATCTGGTGCCAACACAGTCCTAGGACTATCTGACTGAGCTCATGATCTGCAGTGTCTTATTTTCCTTGGATAAGCCCCAGATCCCAGTGGAGTCAAAGGGAAAAAATTAGACAAAAATGGTTTCAGCTGTGTTTTGCTCAGTGAGATTTCACCAAACCCAACCCATGTTGCAATGAGATATTTCTTTACTGATACTATTAATACTCTGAATATGTGGCTGATGCAGTTTGGGGGGTTTCAGGCACTATCCTCTGCTAGCAGCATGCCACCAGATTTCCTCTGAACTTTCACTTCATAACATTAAAAACTCTGTTAAAAGGTACAGGTATCATGTTGGATACACTACATAAACAATAAAATCAATCTTTACACCTTGTCACTGTTTTACCAATTTCTGGGTATAATCAATTTATTATAGACATATTTCTAAGCAATTTCTTACAACAAACCTGTGTTTGAACTCTGCCAGTCATGGAGTAAAATAGTACACCATGAGACCTCAATAAAAGGCTGCAGTTTAAGTTGCAAGTAACAAACTATTCATAACCTAGTCTGACAACAGAATTATTTAACAAATTATTTGAGCCACACAAAGTCTCAATGCTAGGGAATAACTCTGAGACAGAAAAGAGACACTTCAGCAGTCTTCTTTCCTACAAAGAATTAAAAGGAAACCTAACATATGCTCTGTTAGTACTCTTCTAGTTAATTTCTTCTATTTAGGCTGCTATACTTGAGCTAATCTATACACAGGGCACAATGAAGCATTATACAGAAATAAAGCAGCCTCTTATCCTATACAGCAGAAAGCCAACATTTACAAAGGACACACTAAGGCACTAGATGAAGTCACCACGGAACCACTAAATAGCATAAAAATGAAACAGGCATAGCAATGACATTTATTACAAAAGGAACAAACCAGAACTGCAATGAGTTACCTGCATTAGGCAGACTCTAGTTTGAACTACTGCTAACTACAAACTTGTTTTGTACCATCTAGAGCCACTTTTGCACATGTGTGTGAACAGCCTGTCTAGACTGTTGGATATACATATATACCCCCTGCATTTAACTCAACTCCACACAAAGCCCAACTGGCTGGGCAATGTATTTGTGCAGTATAGTTTCTGCAAACAGATCTAAGTCCCAGTAAACACATCACAGTATTTCCCACAGATCCCACAGTATATAACAGATGTCTGACCTCTGAGGAATCAATCTGCAGAATGTGAATGAATATTAGACTATTTAGATATTACATAGAGCAGAAGAGTCAGACACTATACTCCAGATCTTTGCCTCGAAACAAATACGCAGCTGTTGTTTAGCCAGTAAAAAGTTTCACCCATTTCATATGCCATCACCAAAACAGAGATTCAGGACTCTGCCTCAGGGAGTTTGCATTACCAAGAAACAACTGGAGAATTCATTAGATGCTAACTTTTCAAAACCCACATGTACTTTAGAGAGTTCATATTTTAATAGATTTTCTGTATTACCAGATCAAAATATCCTGTAACGAAGCATTTGAATTCCAAGGAAACAGCACCTGGAAGAAGGATTCTAACACTGATTCTTTATTTCCCCCAGGAATACTTCCTTTGAGAAGGTCTTTATGGTACGGACTCAGTATTAAAACCATAAAGAGATTCTCCCTTCTAAAACCACCTTTCCAAAAAAGCTCCCATAGAACGAGCTAATAGAGAGAAGCTCAATCCCACAGACAGGCAGGTCCATTAAAAGGTTTCCCTATTATTTGTTCGGAGAGTTGGGAATCATCTAACAAAATGTTTCCATGTCTCTTAAAATCAAACTCAGCAAACTCTTGTCTTTGCTGGAAGAAAGGAAAAACCCAACATGACCTTGGCTTTCCTGACTGGAAAAGCAATTCTACTGCCTATGATACTGCAACTTCCTTTTGCATTAATTAACTTGAGTGTTCAAATGTGTAAGTTTGTACCTGCCCTGAAAGTCTGAAGGTCTATTTGACACATTTGGATTTGTCCTGTAATCAGAGCTGTAAAAGATTATTAAGCCTAGACAAAACTCGACATACATACAAAGCATCTTCTGCCAAACATGATGACATTTACTTCTCTCTTGCAAGAGGATTTTTGACAATAAAAGCAAATCATATGATGATTCAAAATCAGAACTGAACCTATGGTGATGAGCAGACAAGGGATTTCTCCAGTTAAATTAAGAAATCTTGTGAAAGGAAGAGTTCGGGAGGGGCAACGTTTCACATTTCATAGCAAGTCAAACATGTGCTTTGTTGGCACCGATGGAAGACTGCATTTCTTCCTTATGAGAAACCATTTGGCTGTTAAATTTCTCCCTCTCCTGACATGTAGGCAAAAGACTTGGCAGTTCCAGCTACACCCAGCCTTGCTTCTCTGGCCTGAAGGAAGTCTGGGAAGCACGGCACACCTTTCGTTTGTTCCAGAGCAGGACTAGGACAGAGGATCACTGCCCTGGGAATACCACCAAGGAATTACTCCAGAGTTGTAGTTCATACTTCAGGTACTCCTAATTGTTTCAGTATTCCAGGTTTTAATGTGCAGCTGCATCTCTGCCCTGCTCCCCTATGGCTTCCTACCAGTCAGTGGAAGTGATGGATCCTGGCACTGATATAAAGGGATGGAAGCCTACCTGAGAGCCTGGTTCAGAGAAGCAGAGGGCTCTCACATTGCCCTGCTTCTGAAATACTGCAAAATCATTTCAGAAACTAGATACCATTGTTTCTAGGTCTTTCTCAGACCCAAATTAATACAAGATACGTAAGTATTTAGTTCAAAAACTGGGAGAAAAATGTTCAAACCACCCCTATGCAGCTGTCTGGAGAGCTGAAAGGAAGAAAAAATGCCAAATCCAATAATCCAGTAGAAATCCATTATTCAGAACTTGGTCCCAAATCTGCCACAGAAGCTGACACTTCATTCTCAGTGGCAGAGAAGTAGCAGAATTTGAAGTACTGATGGATCAAGAGAAGAAAGCAGACATTTTCATCAGTGATAAGCTCAACAACTCCTGGCTATAAACTTCAAAAGTATGCTTAAAGCATGTGTTTACAGAGCTCAAAATCTAACTCAGTCAAGATTTCATCTGTGAGGTCTGAAAGATCCAACACCTCCTAAAATAGGTATCCTCCAGTAAGAATATTGAAATGTTGCTCGGGAGACATTGCACCTTTTTCTTTTCTAATTTAATTTTCCCCCTCCCCGAGCCAGTATTCTACCTTACAAGCAGAATCAAAGCCACAGCCTACATTCCTCACCTTTGGTCTTGATGGCTGTTTCCAAGGCTGCAGCATCCCGGTCAGCATCAAAATTTGAGTGGGCCTTAACTGTGGCATAGGCACTTGGTGGGAGAGAATGCTGGAAGAAGAAGAACCACCTCAAAGTTAAATCATGTAACCCTCTCCTCACTGCAGGTAATGAAACATGTGCCTCTTGGTTAACTGCTATTTAGACACATATTTAAGTTCAAGAACTACCACTGGGTTACATCAAAATGGAACTCTTCCAGGATCCACTGAACTCTGTTCTGCTGATGTGTATTGCTCTGAAATACACTCACAGCCATGCTTACAACAAAGAAAATATACATCTATTTTATGTATATAACCCTAACACATTCCAAGTTTATTCACTAAACCTCAAGCTTCTAAGAGTTTTCTGGCTGGATCTAAAGGAAATGGACTACAGTAAGCTAACTGAAAGACTGTTTAAGTGTTTCAGATTTGAAGCCAACACTTTACTTTGGATTATAGGGTAGAATTTAAATATAGTAGAGGGAGATGGAAAATTAGCAATGAGTAAGTCAGAATTTACTGGAGACCTAACCTCTGGCAGGAAGGCATAGTGACCAACACTGAAATTGCCAGAGCTGTTTCATAAGTGCACTAACAGTTAAGCTTTCCTGTTAGAGATCCCTGGAAACTTTTGTTTCAGTCCTTAACTCCAACACAAAGTCAGGTTCATGAAAGACCTAAGCTATCTTAATATCCCTGGAGGATCTTTTTCCATGCAAACTGCTACAAAGAGGAAAAATTTTAACTAAAAAAATTCCATGTTTTTTTAACTATGTTTGACTCTATGCTACTGAGGTCTCACTGTCCCGAACAGATTCCTCCAACAGCAACCACTGTCTCCTCTTGAGACAGTGTGTGTTATGCTGTGGAGAGGAGAAGTCAAAAAAGCACCAATAAACTGAATCATTCCTTCTTTTGCCTCTTACCATGGGCTCAATCTAGAAAAATGGTCCCAGTTTGGCCCTCAGCCATACCACAAAACACAGCCTTTCCTGTTAGCAGATCAAATTGCTAGCAGCAACAGGAACTGGAGATGTGCAGTGTCACCTAGGAGAAATCTGTGTGCCTGGAAGACTACTAAACTGAAGCCCATTAGTAGACACAATCATGTGGCACATTATCTAATTAACTAGCACTCTCAATTAGCTGAAGCAAGTCACCTGGTGAGCTAAGCAGAGTTGGGTACCTCTCCTCCCACCCATCCAAAGCTCCATGTATTTTCCGAGTCATCTGGACAGAGTGTTTTACTGTGAGATGATCCTGCACTCTTGATAAAACACACAGCATATTTGCAATTTGAGAGCCAGCTTTTCCTCTGTCCTGTGGCAGAGGAAACGCACAGTACTGGTACCATGTTTTCAGACGAGAGTTTTTCCAACTGATTTTCCAGTTTCATCTTGAAACAAATCAATCACGACATCATTGATGCACAACACAAGAATTCCTTATTGCACAAGATGGGGCTTAGGTTCAGCTGCAACCATTCTGTAAATGTGTGGTTGAAGTACTGCGTTTAACAACACTGAACCTGCTGAATCATTGCTTGGGGGAACTGAGCATATCCTTTATGCAGCATAGCTACTACGTGATTCTGGCTTCCACCTTAGGATCTACAGAACAAACCAGCCCCCTGATATTTCTTACACTGTATGGCAGGATTTCTGATGACAATGCAGCAGTATTCCAATTTGACTTGTGCAACTACTCAGAAGCACCATGGAAGAAAAATTTCTGCCCTTGAGAACAGATACCTCAAATAATATTCCAGTAATTCTCCATTGAAACAAACATGGCCAAGAAATCTGACGGGCTGACTGCTTTTGCAGTACAAAATCAGCTTTGCTACTTACCTACAGTGCATTAGCCACTTCTTTGCAAGAGCTCTTGCACAAACATCATATGGCATAATTTGTTTCGCAACAAGTTCAAAAATAGGAAAAAAGTTTGCTCGTACTGACCTCAGATCTGGAGTTCCTGGCTATAGAATTTAAAAGTACGGCAGGTTTATAAGCAACATGATGAAATAACGCGTGGATAGGATTCACTTCCTCTTCAATGACAATCACAGGATAACAAATTCATGATACGATATCCTGACACTACACTGGGAATCCCACCACCTAATGTTGCAACAGAAGAAACCAGTGTAGCTTTCTGGTATTTCAATAAAAATATGAAGCAAGTTCTGATGTGGTGGAAAACACACCATCAAAACCAAGAATCTTCACACTTTTCAAAATTGAGACAAGTAGTTTGAGAAAATAAGTTTTTTTCAAGAAGCAGTTTAGTTTTGGTGGCAACTGTAAGACACCAAACATTTTCATTCTATTAAGTACTGTTCTCCATTCCCCCATTTTCATGGGGAGGGGAGACAGGGCGGACAAGGGATGAAAACTCAAAAGATGTCAGCAAACCCAAACACATTTCCATCTCATCATCCTTAACTCACTTATTCCTTTGGAAGAAGGAGAGACCATCGATTTGAACTAGCCATTCAGTCTGTCCTGTGATTTCTCTCATACAGCCCAGCACAGGAACACTGCTCATGCTGCTGGCCAGTTTGAAGACCTGTAATTTGCTAGTCACCTCAAATAATTGTCCTATGGTTTATGGCTGCTTTGTGGCTGAAAACTGATCACTGCTGACTAGGTTCTGGGTTAATGCCAGTTTATGCAGAAGAGGTGTGTGGAATCTTGTAAATTGTATGGCTCAGTACATCTGTTGGTAGAGAGTCTTGCAAAAGAAACAAGATGTGCCGGTTAGGTAAACCAAACTCTTCTTGCTTAGATAGTAATACTTACATCTCCTTCAAGGCTGAGCTTGCTTAAAATTTCATGGACAGTAGACATCTTGAAAGAATGCTGGAGAAAAAAGAAATAAAACAAATAGACTTGTAAATGTATTTATAACTCCATCAACGTGTTACACAGTCCTGAAAGGCTGCAGCACTGAAAGTGACACTCTCCAACGAACCTGCTAATCCCAAGCAAGGAAGCAGATTTAAGAGTTTCCAAGCCACGCCACCAGTAATAAATTCAACAGTGAGAGGTCTTAATTCCATTGTACAATAAAAAGTTACCTTTAAGCCTTAAAAATGCATTTCTTCTGCATTTTAAATACTTAAACTTAGGAAGTGGAGAATCTCTACCTTAGAAACAAAATCAACCAAGCTTAAAACTCACCACCAGGAAAACTGCAGAAACATTATATCCTGGTCAACTTCAAAGCCAAAATGCAGCAAAAAGTAGTAGCATTTAAATCAGATGCTTGATTCTTCAAGTACTCATAGAATACAATGGAACTGTTTATATTAATGCAGACACTGTATAAAGTCATAATGCTGTTTAATCCTGGACACAGGCAACAAATGCCTCTAATAGCATATGGTTTTGTAGTGGCTCCCCATCACAAGACAAGCTACAAACACCAGTTAGTAAGAAGGCTGTCAGATACTAGGTAACAAGGACTCTCTTAAAATGATAGCTCCAAAAGTAAGAGCCACTGAGGCAAGATAATCAACATCACCCATTATCAATAATCCAGGCTGGACAGGGCTTTGAGCAACCTGGTCTAGTGGAAGGTGTCCCTACCTATGGCAGGGGGTTGGAACTGGACCTTTAGGTCCTTTCCAATCCAAACCATTCTGTGATTATTGATCCATTGCTAGAACCTGCATAACAACATCTTGCTAACATATAGAATGAAAAATAGGGAAAACCCCAACCCTGAGACAGACTATACGCACTGCAGAAATGAACACTGATGGAATATGCTTATGTTACAAGGCACTGCCTTTTTTCAGCTCTGGTTTCTGGCCAGGGAAGTTTGGCAGAGCTGTGTTACTCCTTTATTGGAAGGCTCTCTTAACTAAGTAGGATTTTTTTCCAAATGTTGTAAGCCAGAGGCAATATTTAAGAGGCCTGATACATTCCCAAAATTCTACTCTCAAATTCCTCTACTGAAAGGGCAGACATTGACACTTACATTCCCTTCTAGTCACTCATGTTCGTACCTGGAGCAAGTATTATTTTGCCTGTTGGAAGTTAACCCTTGTTTCTCAGGAACTCCATGATCAAGCTGTGGAGAGCATTATCCAAAAATGAAGTGTTGGCTTGATGAGAGGTAGGAAAGAAAAGACAGCAACACCTCAAGGCCACTGACATTGCACCGATTGCAACTGAGCCTGGAACCAAAACTGCACTGGTTTCACTGCTGTCACTGTTTCCCCAAGTCCAGCTCCCACACTCTGCGAGCCAACCCCCAGCAACTGCGCAGCCAGGCCTGGGCATGGCCTTGCAACTGGTTGTCACGATTCTTCTTTTATTCTCCATCAGCCTCTGTTCTGCTGGTGCTGGGCCTCTCCCAGGCAAGCAGTACAAGCCACTGAGGCACATTTCCCAGGCAAACCAAACTCCTCTCTACCCCATGATTAGTCTGAAACCAACAGCTCAGAGAGCCAGCACAAAATTTGAAGCAGTTTCTTAATCATGGGGATCTGGTTAAAACTATAGAACAAGTGTTTATTTTTTGTTTTCGCTCCCATAAACGTACTGTACCTGTAGACAGAAAGCAGAGAAATCCTTACTTTTAGCAGGTATAGCAAGTGTTATGAGAATAACATGCAGAAACACAATTAGATGGCTTTTGTAGTCTAACTGCTGTAATCACACCTTTCCTCACTTAGGATACAGAAAGAAAACCTTTCATCTTCTGAAGCAACCTGGGCATATGTAACAGAAGTAACTTTACTTCAAGGGAAAAGTAAGATCCCAGGGAATCAGAAAAATAAGAATGAAATTAATTCATGCATCAATTTATTTGAGATTAATTTTTTGAGCAAAAATCCAGCCCAGCCCTTTAAAGACTGGCTACAGAATTGTAACAGGCTGCCATCTGCTACTGGCACTATTAACCATGCTGGTTAGAAGGGGATGATGTATTACTGAGTCATGAAATCCTTAATGTTTACTCTTAATAAAATGAAGTACTTAACAATGAAACCTTTGTACTCTGACAGCATTACAACCAGTACAAAGATGAGCAACTCAAGTCCTGTAGTCTTGCTTGTCGGAAAGATCTGAAAAACACCAGTGAAAACTGAAGCAAAGCAACTGCAGCATAATCTTTCACAAAACAACCATGGATCAGCTTTTTGCAACACTCCTGCTTCTAAATCAATTAAAACCAACACTGGATCAGGCTTGGTGGAACAAAAAACTTGAACAGAGTCCATGAACAGAACTATCACACCCTCACTTGAGCTGGAACTGGGAGGTTCATATCATCAGCACACAACAAGGCTTATAGCAACCAACCAGCCATCAGCAGCAAGCTGGCAAAAGTAAAATAATGAGAGGTTTTGCAAGAAGCTTTGCAGAGAAAGATCTTTCCTGGGAGAACAAATCCATCTCTTGTCACACCCTGCTTTGTAAGGCATTCATGTCTGAGAACAGACTCTCGCTGTTCTCTGAGGGACTGATTTTATCTGATGTAGTTTTGACAAGTTCTGGGAAGGTCTGAACATGCAAACAGGAAATACTTGCACTAACTTGTTCTTCCATAAACTGGAAAAGGAATCAATCTCTACCTTCCAGGTGTAAACTAATACTTCAATACCCTAAGGCAAGTTTCTACAAGCAGTTTTCCTCCTAAATCCACATGACGTAAACCATAATGCTGCTCTACTAAAAGAAACAGCATCTGTTTTGAACTTGACCCCCACAGTAATTAATTACCGATTTGTAAACCTGTTGTTACACTGGGCCTAGTCTATATTCAGTACCTTATATCCATAACTGTTTGGTGACAAAAGCGTGTGTTTAAAACCAGTCCCATATCTCAGCTCCCAGAGGCAGCTCCCACACATTAAAGCAGAAAACACCCATGTGAGCCATCCAAAAAGTGTCAGGTATGCACAAGCAATAACAGTGCTCAATAAGCAGAGTTAGCATTTTAAGCAGCACTTATTATATGTTCATAGACAGAGATTGAACAATGGGTGTTCCCAGACATCTGAGCCAAGGAAACGGCATCCCCGGAATGAGAGAATGGAAACTCTTTCACTTGGAGGCTGTTTATGTCAGGTCTCCAAAAACTAGGGCATGGTCCAACAGAGGAAAGGAGGGAGAGTGAGGAAGATGTGCAGTATCTGCTGTACATGGAATAATGACTCAAAATCATGCACTTACATACAGTGCTAACCAACTGCACATACCATATCTCCCCAGATCACCTGGGACAAGGTTCAGCAGAACACTGAAAGCCACCATTTGGAGAAAACATCAATTCTAAAGGAAAGGATTTCAACCCCCTTTGTACCACAAAGACACTTTAACTGTTCTCTTCCAGACTCTGCTAATAGCCTGGGATGTTCCGTTCCAGGAAGATGTTACACACATACAAAATGAAGGACTTTTATTTCTCCTTATTCAAGTTATTCTCACTTCTGGGACTTTACAGGACAACCACTTTATCAAGGCAAACTATTTGATACATGAGCTAACGGAAACTATACTCACAACGGCTACTTATGACAAGTAGCTCCACCAACAGAAGGCAAGCACATCTACAGATGGATCACTCAAGGCACAGAGGTTCCAAAAGATCCCTTCACTCTTGACCTGTATGTTGGATTCTGCGCATCTCTGAATGGATATGGTGTTTGAATGCGAACATAAGAACAACTAGCATCAATCAGAATTAAAGCTGACATCTGTAAGAACACCACCCACTTCTGCATGACTATCTGAAATCATTTTACTTTTCTTCCAGCTGAAGTACACGGCCACATTCCTTTGCCCTGTCTCCCCTTGCTCAAGGAGGGGGAAGTGGTGTCCAGGCTGACTCACAAGGCAGCGGCAAGATCTCAGCAATCCTGCTCACAGACGCGGCAGGGTGGGATCAGCCGCGCCCTGCCAAGCCCGGCTCTGAGAGCGAGGAACCGCACAGGGCTCCCTGACACGCCGCGGGTGCGATCGAAGGCCAGACTCGGGATCACTGCCTACCCGGAACATCTGCCTGCCCAAGGGCTTCTCTTGTGCCCGTGCCAGCGGCTGGACCATTGCCAGCGGCCGCACCCGGGGAGGAGGGCAGGGGCCGTAGTCCCAGCCCGAGCCCGACACACGGGGTCCGCAGCCGGGCGAACCCTGCTTTCACCGCCCGGCGCGGAACAGCCGCGTCGCTTCGAGGCTCCGGGCTGAAAAGTGAACGTACGCCACCATCGCTAACCCAGCTGAGCCTCCGTGCGCCTCCGCCCGAGGAGAAGAGTATGTGGGGCAGTTTGACCGACTTTGGGAGCGGTTCCTCTTCCCCTGAGCGCTGCCGCCACACCCAGAGGTGCTGCGGGCGCATGAAACTTCCCGAGGGCAGCCCCGCCCTTAGAGGCCCCCGTTCCGACGTGAAGCCGAGCACAGAGCAGTAACTAACGGGCGCGCAGCGCCGGAGGACGAGAAGGAAGAGAAGAAGAGCGCGGGTCGCGGGAGGGCAGCGGCCGCACCCAGCCACCGCCCCGCGCCCGCTCCGCTCCCGCCGCCCGCCCGCAGCCCCGGCCCGGCCCCGCGGGGCTGCTGCTGCCTCCCCCCGCTCCGCTCCGTTCCGCGCTGCGGGGACGTCGGGCTCACCTGGCCGGGGTGAGCAGCGCGGCTCTAGCGACGGCTCCGGCGGCGGCTGCGGCCCGCAGCGGCCCGGGCGGGGTTTTAAAGGGCCGGGCGGGTCCTGCCCGCCCCGGCGCCCCTCCGCCAGCCCCGCGTCTCGGCGCTGACTCACCGGGCCGCGCCCGCCTCCCGCAGCAGGGACGGGGTGGGCGAGGGCCGGGCAGGAACAGCCGCGTCAGCTGCACCGTGCCCTGCAGCGCCCCGGTCCCGACAGCCCCGGGGGGGCACCAGTAGCAGGGCCCTGGGGTGCGGGGATCGGATCTGCCGTCACTCCCCAGCCCCTGCACAGCCGCCCGGACCCCACTGAGCTGGGCATTCGCTGCCACCCGTCAGAACGGCACCCTCTCGCCCCTAGGCTCTGGCGCAGCGAGCCGAGTTCCCTGCGGCTATGGCTAAGACCGCTTCGCACCGACAGTACTTAACAGTCAGGGCTCAGAGCGCAGTATGCGTCTGAGCTGTAAGAAGTCATTCAGTCTTTTCTGAGTGACCAGCAGAAAAGGACCTGGGGGTGCTGACTGATGGCTGCTGAATATAAACCCAGCTTGTGCCCAGGTAGCCAAGAAGGCCAACAGCATCCTAGCCTGTATCAGTAATAGCGTGGCCCGCAGGACTGGGGCAATGATCATCCCCCTGTACTAGGCACTGATGAAGCCGCACCTCAAAACCTGTGTTCAGTCCTGGGCCCCTCACTACAAGAGACATTGAGGTGCTGGAGCAGGTCCAGAAAAGGGCAACAGAGCCAGTGAAGGGCTTGGAACAAGTGAGGGGACAAGAGGAAACTGCCTCAAGCTGTGACAGGGAAGGTTTAGGCTGGATATTAGGAACAAATTCTTCCCCAAAAGGGTGGTCAGGCATTAGAACAGGCTTCCCAGGGCAGTGGTGGAATCACTGTCCCTGGAAGTGTTCAGAAACCGTGTAGATGGAGGCCCTCGATGACATGGTTTAGTGGTGGACTTGGCAGTGCTGGGGGAATGGTTTGACTTGATGATCTTAAAGGTCTTTTCCAGCCTACTGGTTCTATGACATAGGCCACAAGCAATAACACTGGAAGACTGAGACACAAGCTCTGCGGCTCACTGTACTATGCTCAAATAATCCAAACAGGCCACAGCACACACAGAAAGGAAGAAGGGAAATAAAAACTTCTGCCAGACTGACTGCTGAAAAATAAGTGACTGAAGCCCAGGTGTCAGACGGTAACAAAGCATGATATAGTTAGAAAGCAAAAAGTATTTGCAAAAGATGATCTGCAGTTGGCTCACTTCAGAATACTGCTCCAGCACAGCAGCACAGCCAATTCACTGCTGATAAAAAGCCAGCATTCCCCATTCCCAGTACATGCTGTTATTCCTGTAATTTCAGTGTGGCTTTTTCAATGCCCTGCAGGTGAATACCTTTAGGTAGTCCTTTCAAAAGTATGTTGTCACAGAGTGGTTTTGATTCTGCAAAGAGATTTGCCTCTGCTACAAGGGTTTTTTTAGGCACAGAGACATCGTCTGCCAGAAAAAGAGGGTAAGAAAGTTTCAGGCTTGGCCAGGTACATAAAAACCAGTGGTGGCAAAAGCAAGCAAGCAAGAGAGAGACATAAGAAGATGGTCCAAGGGACAAAATTGCTAGGATGAAACAAGATCAGAGATACAAAAAGAGAGAAATATTAAGAAATCCTACACTAGACTTCAAACATGGAGGCAACAGATGAACTGGTGAACTAGTCACTGCAGAAGGTGAAAACAACATGTTAATTGCCCTTTCCTGCATACACAGAAGTAACATGAAGGGGACAGCCATTGGAAAAGGCACATTGTGCAACAGCATTTGGTCAGAGAACATCAGCGCCAGTATTACTTTAGTTTTGGCAAGGCCACTGGGGTTATTTCTCTGTTATTAATGAGCCTGGCTTTAAAATTAAGTCTTAGGTATCACACTTCAAGCAGTGTCTGACAGTTAAACAGATAATTTCCCCCTGCTTTTCAAGTTCTTAGAAAAATCACTTGTAACTTCAACTTGGAAAGGTGATTCACAGATCAAACCCCCTTACAGTCCTAGAAGTAAAAGCCCTTCCATCCTGCAGTAATCCTTAGGAGCTTTAAATAGGATAAGCAGCTGAGCAGAAGCCAGGCAGCCAATTTGCCTACTAATGGATGCACAATCCCTTGGGGAGAGATTTTTTACGATCTCTTGTCAAACATTCTTAACGCAAAAGCAGAGAAGCATAACCACAACACCCTCAGCTGAAAACAGTGCATTCACATGTGTAATGTATTGCCAACACATGTTGCATTCTTGTACAAAAATCTGCCGAGTCACACATTAATGAGTTTAGAGCTTAACTGAAGGTCCATTTACCTTTCAGTCCTCTACTGCAGCCTGCTCCAATGACACGACTGTTCCCATATCCTTAGAAAACTGTTCTCCTTTTAGTAACTCAATACTTCTTAAGATCTGAAGTAGCTCCTATGCCACCACTAATTTCTGCTAACCAGATCTTCATATGAAGAGTTTGCAAAAGCTTTGATATCAAGTGGACTATTATCATTACAGCCACGTTAATTGGAGCACAAAGATTTTCCGGCACTTTCAACAGCTTCAGAAATGTTGTCTTTAATATCCAACTTCATCATCAATTATTCAATCTCAGAATCACACATTCACCTCAGTTTAAAACAGACAGCAGCCTCTCTGAACTTACACAAGCTTCAGGGACTGTTGAAGTGATTTCAAAAGAAAAAAGACTGACAATAGGAAGAAAAAGAACACCCATATTCAGAGTCTTGAAGGTATAAACATCATATTCAAACATATTATGAATTCCCTCAATTGGTCTCCGCTTATGTAGGTCAACTGACATCAAAGGCACTTGTACCAGTTGGGGAATCCAAGTAGTATGAACAACAGAAAACACATTAACATTTTCTGCAGAACAACCAGCCATCCCCCAATACCTGATCCTGCCCATAGAAACATACTCTTCATACCTTTAAGAAAAACCTCTGCAAAGCCAGCGAACTGAAGAAGGCAGCAGTCAGACTGTGCAAATAGGAAAGACTTCTGTTACCTGCCAAACAGGGAAAGGAAATTAATTCAATGGGAGAACAGCAGCCAAGTGCCTGGATTGCTTTTTATAATGAGACATAAGCTTGTTATGTTACAGGAGTTACTCCTGAAGATTTACCCAAAGCCTGGGGGGTTTGTTCAACCCCTGTCATAAGGGGTTCTGACCACTGCTCCTGAGCACTATGTTAAAGTAACTACTGTCAGCATGAAGCTGGGCAGAAGGCTGGGACAAGGACTACACTAATGACAAGCCCAGTATTTCTCTGCCTGCACCACAGATGATTTACTGGAAGAAACACGCTGCAACTAGCCTGCAAATAAGGCAGTACCAAGAAAGGGTTTCAATTAGTTTTCACATTGCTTAGTCCCTCCCCCCGCAGCCCCTTTAAAATATCTGCAAAGAAGATCATATTTCAAATAACCATCAAGTACTTCAGCTGCAATTACCTATTTGTGCTCTCTGGCTTCCTGCATGCTGACCACTGAAATTGAAGGGGGTGCACTTGTGTCGACTGGAGCTCCCCAGAGTCCTGTGCATGAGAAAACAGATGTAATTGTGCCAACTTCCCATTCTTCCCTTCCAACAGCTCGCTGTGGTTCAACCTATACCCTATGGACATGCTGTAGGTCCATTTTCTCTCACATCAGTGACACGGCTATTGCAAATTCTCGCGTTGTTTTGTTACTGCTTAATATTGCTTGACACTAAGTTAATTTCTTTCCCCTCCCTCTTTCAATTCAGTATACCATTGTCTTCCACCTCACCAACACGTTTCATTTTTCTTGTCATTGTCTTATGCTATACTACTGGAGACTTGATGTGTTCAACTTGAATATTACATTTGTTTCCCTCTGACCCAAACTGTATATCCGCAGTTACACTAATGCATACAGGGTCACTCCAGGTCTCAATAGATTTTTCCTTCACTTCTGTCCCTGATTTTTTGGCTCCTTTGTCCACACAGAGCTTGCTCATGCTCTTTCAGGATGCTGTCTACAAAGAATCAAAGATGCATTAGCAGTGGAGTGATGAAGGCCACAATCTTGTCAATGTCTGTTGCCTACTTAAACTTTATTCTTTATTCAGAAGTAATCAGGACAAAGGACTTTCTGGTGCGGCTCTAGGTGTGGCTGAGCCTCTGTTGTGCTGCCTCCCTCAATGCGCTATGTTGCAAGAGGATAGTACAAATTCCATTCCAATTAACATATGGATCAGGCAGACCTCTGGGTGTTATTATTTTTGCATTTGTATTATTTGGTCTAATTTGGGAGCTTCCATGACACAAATTCACGTAGATTTGTTATTAGCACTTAAGAGTAATCACAGGTGATGGAGCAAGTTAACTTAAAAGTTATGCTAGTTGAGTTCTCAGGGGCTAACAACCTGGCCAGTTATTATGAAGAAAGGAGGAGGGATTCCTAAAAACACACTGGACCACATTAGTAAAATTCTAAACACTGAGAGTGGTGTTAGGGGACAGGGTTGTGTGTTAAGGGGGAGTGCAGTTTTTTCATTGACAGCCACAATGATTAAGTCTCCCAGAATTCTAATTCCAATGTATGTCTTTGAATAATAAAATACCAGAATTAGAATAGAATGCCATCTTTTGTCTAATCAATATCAGACATCTTGTTATGTGCTCCACCTAACAACCTAAGCCCATGGACCAATTCTGTCTGCGCAATCTCATTCCTACACTACATGCGCATTCCTGAACAAATGTTATTCTCCACTCAGAAACTGTTTATTTGAAATAATCCTTTTTAAAGAGCTTGACTCAAGTGTGGAATGATGTTATGTTGTGTGTTAGCCAGATCTCCTAATATTTTGTTATGCTTGTATTTTACAAACAAAGCATTATATCAGGTGGCATTTGCTAGTTCAGAGTGGGTTCAGAGAGGCAGTATGCTTAAGAATAGGGCATCCGGGTTAGAAACTGGACACCAGGACTGTATGCCTGGCAGAGTTATGGTTTGCTGTGTGACCTTAGATTGTTGCCTTCTCACTGATTAGGTCCTGTCTTTTGACTGTGAACTCTTTAGGGCAAAGACTATTGCATCTGCTAAAGAAAATGCTAAACAACATAAATAACTTCATCAACATACAGTAATAAATTAGACTTATCAAATAGTTTCCAGTTTATTTTCATATGTTTCATACAAAGTCTACATTACATGAAAGCTGATATAACCTTGTTTAAAGGATCTATTTTAGCAATTGTAACAAAGACATGACAGGCGTTATGTTCTAGTTACTTCCCATGTAGACTCTCAACGTGCTTTACACATTAGAACCTGACAGTAAATACTTGTAATGGCTAGTAAAACATCCACCTCTGTCTCCCACCAGTTAGCTGCATCTTGCATATGACTTCCAAAAGTCTCCTTTTACATCTTGATACTGTTTTATCACTGGATTTGTCTTCAGCTACTTTGCAAGTCTGTATCATATGCAAACTGATTTCTGTCTGCTGTTCAGCATCCCTTCTCTCTGCCACTTTCATGCACGTCTGACCATAATCTTAGTTTGAACTCTAATTGCTTTTCAAATACTTTCCTCATCACCAGTCTAAATAACACTATCGTCCTTCTCCTTTTATCTCACAATCTCAGTGAATCCTTCCACTCTGAGCCTAGGGCACAAGGAGCTTGCCTCCACAAAGAACCAGATGCCTGGGTGACTTAGGGTCCAAACCAAGACAAGAAAGTAACAAGGGAAAATACTAGCTGAGACTAGTTACAGGACTCAAAGATACTCCTTTAGCAGAAGTTTATAACAAAACAAGCTGTCTCAGGGCACATATGCAGACTAATTAAAGTCAGTACCGATTGCCAAAACCCATAAAGTTTGAGTCACCATGGCAAAATCTCATTGCACTGGCTGTCCACTTCGACAGAAAACAACAGGGAATTATCTATGCTCTGTCAAGATAATTCATAAGGAAGCAAGATCCTTTGTAACTCTCATTTAGCTGACACAGCTAAAACAACACAGGCCTGCAACTTCAAAGGTGCAGTAGGCTTTTTTCCCCTCAAAACTCAGTGCAGGCTATTCCATATTCTCTCCTGCTGTTTGGTATGCAAACTGGAGTAAGCCACAGAGGTACACATATTCAAGTAACACAGAGATTCAATAAGGAATATACACCATGAACAAATGGTAAACAAGCAATTCAGATACATGTGTACCAAAGAACAGAAAAGCATCTCCTCTGGCATACATTTATCACTAGTATTAACAGTGTCTGGAGTTCAATCCCATTTCTAAGCTAAAATGTGAGTCACTAGCGTTTTGGTTTTTCAGTGTGCCTCGCAGAAGTAATCATCTGGGGTGTGAGTAGGAGAGGTCGCCTAGATACATCATAAACAGAAATGAAACACAAATCCCTTGTGCTGGTATCGGTGGCATGAATAAACTCAGCGTCCCTACACTGAATGAAACAGTCACAGGATATACAAACAAACAGTCGCTACGTGTGTGACTGCCTTTCCATGGATTTCCTCAGTGCCTTGGGGACATCCTGATGCCCTGCTTGATAGCCAGCAGCCTTTTTTATCCCAAAATCATGCAATCCGAGACAAAACAAGGGCCACAAAGCATTGTCAGACATTAAAGAACGTAACTTTACTTTCTGTTCCCAGGTTATCATGAATACTTTCAAGCATTGTTTAAGCTACTTCAGGTCAGAGTTGTAGCTCCATCTGAATCTAGGTACTGTGCTGGTTTTACTCCTATGTACACTAACAGGTTAAAAAGAGACACCTTAAAGCCACTGTGAGAGGAGTCCAGCTTTCCCAGCAATATCAGCACAGTACTGCTAGCATAAAGAGACTACCAGTAGATATTAAAGAATTAAAAGAGATTCTGAACCGATTTAGATGACACAGAGCTTAAACGATCACAGCTGCCAGCTCCACAGTAATGTTCACCAGACTGCAACCACACTGGAAAACCCGGTAGGAAATATTACCAGTGCACGTAGGAGCCCCTGACATCATCCAGAACAGACCAGCATGAATAATCACTACAGAATTTGGCCTGTCTTGCCAGAAGGCAAAAAAAAAGCTATAAAAAATGGAAGCTGCCAAAAGTCCTCAGGGAATTTTTCCGAGGAACAGTGTTAAAAGGTTTCATATAAGACCAAGTCTCTCCAGCTTCATTGTTTCCCATCATTATGAGCTTTTTCCACTTTGGTGACTCACAACACAAACAATCCCATGGTTTGGATTAATGTCCTGGCCTCTGCAAAAGTACAGGGGAGGGTGTCACACCTTAAATATGTCCCTGAAAATCTTAGGGAGCAATTCTGAAAGTTTCCAGGGATCTGATGAAGCACCATCTAAAGTTACTCTAAAAATCCTTAAGCAACAGGTTCCTATGGTAGATCTGCAGGCCAGTAACTGCACACTGCAAGAAGTATGTCCTTTTTATTTACTATCATGCCACCTCTGAGATAACCCATGAAAATGAATTTAAAAACCACTTACAGATTACAGTTCACTGACAGGAATCAGCATACCAATACTCCAGCAATCTGGAACGCAGCTGTAAAATTTCAATTAAGAACAATGATATTGTGAAATAGTGTGGATTTTGTTTGTTTTAAAACATATCAACCCTGGTTTAGTTCAAAACAACATAAAGCAGTTATGGTTTTGAGCAAGTTCTTACATGATCTGATATTCATTAGCTAATTAGGCTCAGCTGAGGTACCAGCAACACAAAGGAATGTCACAGTTTCTTGATTAAAATGACTGTCAACACTGATGTCTTTTTTAGCTCTTTCTAGTGGCATCTCACAGCTTTAGATAAAATTTAAGGCAAATCAAGCTGACTTCAAAAAAAAGCTGTTGACTGAGTGAAAGAGGATGGCTGTTATGAAGAGACTTGTTTCTGCCAGGCAAGTAAAGACTTGCTTTTCCAGGTCAGACACACAGGTCTGAATTCTAAAACCAGAGATCTCTTCCTTTAATGAATCACAAAAACGTATTAACAGCCTATTGTTTTAGCATGAAGGAGTACATGCAACACTTAACATTTTCATTAATATTTAGTTTCAAATAAGCCTTCAGGAAACACTTCTACTCAAGCTGTGTAACTTTCACTGCTGTGTCCAGCATGCTAGTAGCTAGTGCTCACTCAGGGAAACGATATTTAACATTGCAGGAGATGAAACAAAAGGCTGTAGTGCACAACCACAGATAATTTTCAAGCAAGTCCTCAACACTAAGGTTTATTTTCCTAATGCTACAATCATCCAGGAAGTCGTTAAGACAATAGCGAGCAGCCAGTGTACAGCACGTACAGAATAACTGAGCTCAAAACAGTAGAGCAAAGGAGTGGAAGCCTAGCTGACTGATCAGCAGGAAGACATGGAGACACTGATGGCTGTCATCTTCCCTGCGGAGACAGAGGCTAAAGTCTTCAGGAGGGTTTTGCCAGGATAGAAAGCTGGATCTCCAAATTTAAGCCACAGCCTGACACATGCACACACACAATAGCATGAAAACACAGGCATTTAAAAAGCCAAAGAAATGTGTTCAGTATTTTCTCAGTTTGCCTATTTGGGCTAGTAGAAAACCTATAAATGGAAGATATTGCGTTCTTTTGATAAATGTGATGTTGTATGAAATATAGTCCCTGAAGAAGGCAGGAAACAAACGTCTTGATTCATACAAATTTACTGCTTGTTATTAGGAAAAAATACGAAAAAAAAAAGGCTGTTGTGACAAGTCTGTGATAGGTCAGCTGACCCACAAATCTCTCCCTTCTCAAGAGATAGTGTCACTACAGTATTTTTTCCAGGTTTCTTAACCTAAATATGCTGCTTTTGGATTAAAAACATCAGTCTAATCAATCTTACTGTGCATTCTGCTTAGGTTACCCACAAAGAAGCCAAAGAATTTCAGCTGTGATGTGAGCACTTACTGATTTGGAAATGACCACAAAAACCTGTTCAAAGTAGCATGTGCAGCTATGCAGTAACTGTATCTTCGCTTATTTTATTACTCTTGCTATTAACAAAGAATATCCAGAGTTGCATGAGATTATTGTCCTGTCAATCAGGGAACAGAACTGTACAACTGCAGTACTGGATGGTTAACTACATGGTTCTGAAATAAATGGATTTTGACTGCTGAGGTAGCTTTTCACACAGCTACATGACCTGCTCAGCAGGGGGAATAAGCAGCAATGGGGTTCTGACAGCTACTTCTTACCCTCTTTTTAAGGTCAAATTTAACCAGACTATCAAAATATTTGCTGAAGTGCCTGTCTGCAAGGCAGCACAGCCCACATGAGACAGACTGATGAGTGACTTACATCAGTTAGAATCTTTTTGCATTCGTCTGGTCTTTGTTTTGAATTGCTTGTGGAAAGATTTGGTAGGTGGAGCTTTTGAATGTAGTGAACCACCAATTGCAGCAGGCCTGGCATGGGAGGGCATTCATGGTGTTCACTCAACTATGGGATAAACACATTTTAAAGTCTGCAATGAGAATCATGAACAGACTAGAATTATTTTCGAGGTTGCACCATGGCATCAAATTTGATTTTCAGTGATTAAATGAAGTGATTAAATAGTCTCACTTTATTCATAGAGATGCTTTTAAATAGTTTCTGAAAAATACACCAGAAGCATTGATATTAGAGGGAATTTGGCTATACTGCTTATTAACATGGATGTATTACAAATTTCTTTACAGAAAATCCTTATGCTCTTCTCTCTTCTGGTATAATTCTTTTTCTGGTATACTTCTCTAAAAGTATACCAGGAAGAAGAAGTGACTTTAGAAGAGCTGGGGAATTTCAGCAAGACCAGCTTATGCTGCATCATTCCTTTAAAACCACAGCAGAATGCACTACAGCAGCGGCTGTGGTAGGAGCAGACCTTAGGGGAAGCAAGACCAACAGAACAGAAAGGCTGCATTTTGTTATGAAAGAAGGAGCTTAGTTATGGCACTTCTTGGATAAGCATCTGAGAAGATTATATATCCAGTCATGCTCAGACAGGGGGAGATACTGAAAATGCTCCATCTACTAGTAGAAATTAATGCAGCTTACATGGAGGTCAGCACTAAACATTTTTAAAGACCACTTCTTAAGTTAGTCTTATGTTGTTTTAGAGATAAGCTGCTATTTAAAATACAGGTCAAGCAAAGCAGATGCAGAAAAAGTACCTCTTCAATGTCTGCTACTGAACTTCACTGCATGAGATTAGACAGTCCCTTGCTGTTGGCAGATCCCCGCTGCCAGCACGGAATGGGTATCTGGTCGCTTGGTCCCAGTTCCTCCAGCCACTAGACTACACTAGGAGACAGAGCACAAAACCATAGTAAATCTATTCTTACCATTTCACATAGACAGTGTCTACTGTACCCCTAAAAAGTTTTGCAGTCAAACAGAGAAGGTGAAGAGGTTTAGCCAGTCACATATGGGAACATATACAGTTCATGATTCATTAGTGCAAATAGTTTGAAAACACTTATTACAGCAGAAATAAAGTTGTATAAATTGCAACATGAACATACACAATCCATTCCAAACACAGAGCCGAAGATGGAAATTACAGGACTGAAATTACAGGATGGTTTGGGTTGGAAAGGACCTTAAGATCATCCAAGTTCCAACCCCCCTGCCATGGACATGGACACCTCACACTAAACCATGTCACCCAAGGCTCTGTCCAACCTGGCCTTGAACGCTGCCAGGGATGGAGCATTCACCACTTCTCTGGGCAGCCTATGCCAGTGCCTCATCACCCTCACAGTAAAGAATTTCTTCCTAATATCTAACCTGAATTTTCTTTGTTTAAGTTTGAACCCATCACCCCTTGTCCTATCACTACAGTCCCTGATGAAAAGTCGCTCTTCAGCATTCTTGTAGGCCCCCTTCAGACACAGGAAGGCTGCTATGAGGTCTCCACGCAGCCTTCTCTTCTCCAGGCTGAACAGCCCCAACTTTCTCAGCCTGTCTTCCTACAGGAGGTGCTCCAGTCCCCTGATCATCCTCGTGGCCCTCATGGATGTGAGATCTGTGGATTTTCTTCCCCAAACTGAGTAGCTTGAGGCCATAAAAAAGATCAGCACTAGTTAGCTGTAGAGCAACAATTACCTGGAGAGTAAAATCCAGGCCCAGATAACTGCAGCTGAAGGAGAGTTTCTGCTTCTCATAGCTCTACAGTCTGTATTACATTTAGGAATTTATACTTTGGTGGCATCACAACAGCTAGGCTCCTCTGTATTCCTTCTTTTTCCTCCACAGCTAGCTGTAACTTGAGGAGCAGTCTATACAGAACCAGCAATCCAGCACCTCCTCTGACTTTACTGAAGTATTTTTTTTACCAATTATTTTGAGTCAACCATTTGTTTAAAATTTCAGTTGTTACTACCTGAAATAAACACACTTTCCCTTTTGTCCTGTCCTCCTATCACTGCTTTAAATAGGTTTTGCATCTAAAAATCTGCTTTTTTTTTCATGTAAATATCAATACAGTACACCTTGGTACACCACCCATGGTACAAGAACAAAACCAGAGTCTTTCAAACAAGTAAATCATCATCTCAGAGCAATTTACTTCAGTCCAACTTAGCCCAAAAGAGAACAATAAAATGAAACATAACAGTGAATTAAAAAGCCATCTCATGTGTTGTATACAAACTCCAGATTCCCTACCTAAACAGATAAAAAACTACAATTAGTATACTATCATTAACAGTACACTAGTGCAGTATAATAGTGTACCATTAAGAGAAAGACGCAAGTCTTTAAGGCATACAGACATATAGGCAACTAAACCATACATTTCTAACATACAAAACTGCAAGAAGAAACTAAATTCCACATGAGTCTGGCAAAAGTTTTTATATAGAGAAGCTGAAAATCCCTTGAATTCCCACACAGACCTGGGTACCTGGCAGAAATGACTCACAACTAAAATATTCCTATTAAGAGAGGCCACTAAGTGCTTTGAGGCTTTTGAATCAGAACAACTTGTCATTTGCAAACAGCTCTATACCAGTTCAGCACATCATTAGCGTTAGCACTGCAGTGAAAAGAAGCAGTGGCCAAAAGAAGAACAAATTGAATACTACTATAAATATATTTAACAGTGAGTATGCTGAGGGTTAGGGTGAGGGAAATGCATTGTATTTCATAAAGAACAGTTTAATATACATTCATTGTTTAAGTCTCCTTTTAAAAAACCCTAACCAAACAAAACCAAACCCCAGCTGTCTTCAGGATTATACAACAGGTATACCTGAGTAAACAATCTGAATCCCTTATTTTTACTTTCCTTTAAAATGTGTCATGTCAAGCCCCAGTGAGCAGAATACTTGATCAGATGTGTGTACTTGGTAACTTCCTTGTCGAAACAAAAGACTTGGAAGATCATCTGTAAGGCCTTTGTTTTTTATTTAAGCAGTTAATCCATACCAACAGCTCTCCAGAACATCATCCAAACAAAAACTGGCTCAGACATTTTAAAATAGTTGGTTTTGTTGTTTAAAAGAAAAAAAAAAGGGAAAGAATTTACTGAACTCATGGCTTTCAAGAATTCGTAAGCTTTTCTAAATTCAATACTTTTAATAGAGGACAATATAGGCAGAAATCCAGAAAACAAATACAAACCACAAG